AACTCATAATTATCAATTACCAAAGCAAGGACATCACGGACTCAATTATACACGGTCACAGTTTTCGGAGGCTGCATTTATATCACTAGTGAGCCGAGAATTCAGGTTGAGACTCCCTGTAGTTAAGGCGAAGTTAACAAGTTGGAGTCTCACTCTTTCCACATGGAGTGGCGAAATATTTTGTGAAAAACGCAATATTCGCGGTGATATGCAGTAGTCTCGAAAAGGTTTTTCATATCACGGGTGACTCCATCGTATATTTGAGGTGACGATATGAGAAGCAACATCTCTCACATTTTGGTATTCGGGCATCTCTCGTGTCATTAATCCTCCAATTATAGCATTATCGTCGTTATGGTTATCGCGTCCTTTCGGCAAGTACACACTGAATGTTATATCGACTAAGTTGTACGGTGACACGTTCGTTTCCAAAGAACACAGTTTGGCTCAAAATTGCCCGCTATTAACCGACGAGATCTGAGGTATGCCGTTCTCGAAATGGAGAGGTTCGAAGCCTAGACTATAGGACCTATAGTATAGGTCTCATGCGATATACATCGGAAACTTTCCTGGTATTCAGAATACCAGGAATGACGATCTCCCGCGTTTTACCGCATGCAGTCACTGCATTGCAGTGCATGCCAATTTGAGCTCATGTCAATATAAGTTTATGCGACTATCACATTATCTTTTACTTACACTCTTCTGAACTCACCGAAGCTTTCGGAGCAAACTCGTTCCCAATCTTCTCCGTAACGACAATCCACTTCACAACGTGAATTGCAATTTCCGAATCGCTCGTTGCCAAAATCAACCTAAGATATACTCCGGAATCAGTGTAGAGGAATATTCACATACTCAAGTACATGTGTGTTGGAGAAATATACGTTCGCTTCCCTCAGCTCAGCTCAGGAATTCCCCCACTAGTTATAGTCTATAACTTCTATGACTTCTATAACTTATAGAAGTTTACATGTGAGCTCGAGTAAAAATGTGCAGAAGCCAAGGAGAATTTCCCATAGTTTTCATATTGTCGCCAACCATAGGCGCCAAACATAGAGGGCAGGGGGGGCGGAGGCCCCCCGAAATGTTAAGGTCGGGGGGGGGGGCGCGGCTCCCTCGGAGGGAGTCCCTCCTAGGCCTGAGTTGTGTACATGCGTGCGAACGTTCACGTACGTTGCACGTGCACCCACCTGCCAGATGAGTGTATCTTTATTGACTAGATTCCACGTTATTTACGCATAGGCTGGTTTGTGTTATATGAACTCGGGAGACACCGCGAAATGTAGGCAACGCGAAACTGGCATATCAGACTTTAATGTTTCTGAACTTTGTTCGCCGTAAATGCAGCAACAGGCAGTCGCCAAGATGTTCGCCGGTGCGATGAAGCGCAACCGCGAGGGGGGCAGCTCTACCTGCTGTCGTGGGGGATGCTCCAAACACCATCCTTCCCGATATTATCGAAGGCCAGGAGCAGCTCCTTCCCTATGGTGTACAGGATAATGTCGAGAATGAGTTAGGAGAGAACTGCAAGCCCGACGATTCTGCTCTTGATGAGTCCGAGTCGTCTGTTCATCGCTCGAGAGTGGTAGAGAGGGTCCCCAATCAGACTCCACGAGCCGTATGGCTCAAGAATTTTTCGTGGTTGTCCGACGTAGCCACTACAGAAGACGGGAAGTATCAGCTCGGGTGTAAGATCTGTATGTGGGCCAAGTCGAATAATCGTTTCCTTGCATCTCATCGTGTCAAGGATGCCACGCTTGCGAGTGGTACGTTCAATGGCCCGGCCAAAAAGGTAGCTGGTAGGCTCTCCATTCACGAGAGCACATCCCTGCACCAGCATGCTCAGAGACAGTGGAATAGATTCGAGACAGAGGTGGCTCCTGTATCCCAGTTGATTTCGTCTGTGGCGCAGAAGCAGTCCAAAGAGCACCCTAGTGCTCTTCTGAAGGTGTTGCTTTGTCTGCAATTCCTCTTGAGGCAGGGAGTGGCCATTCGCGGACATATCGACCGAGATGCCAACTTCTGGAGACTGCTTGACTTCGTCGCGGAGGACTGCACTGTTCTGTCTAACTGGGTGGCCAGAACATCGAAACGATCTGGTGAAGAGGGGCCGCGCTGGCTTTCACATGGCATCGTTGAAGAGTACATATTCTTACTGGGTGATGGCATCAGAGAAGAACTACTTCGTCGGGTCCGAGACGCCCGGTGGTTTAGTATTTTATGTGATGAGTGTACCGATGCAGCAGTTTCTCAACAAATCGCAATTTGTTTGAGATACTGCTGCCCCGAGACTCTGGAAGTTCATGAGATATTTGTTGCTCTCATCGAGACTAAGAGCAGTAAATCAGCCGATCACAAGGACCATCTTCTTCAGTTCATCAACGACGCTCACCTTGATATTAGAGGGCTACGCGGGCAAGGATACGATGGATGTTCATCGATGAGTGGGAAGCGTAGTGGTCTGTCCACTCAAATACGCTCCATTGAACCTCGTGCCCGATATATTCATTGTGTCGGACATAGGTTGAATTTGACCCTTCAAGACTCGATTGGACGCATTCCTAACAGAGTGTCTCGAGCGGCCTACGAAGACGTGCTAGCAGTCTGTGCATCTTTCACGGGTTTTATCAGGGATTCTCCTAAGCGAATGGCCTCACTCTCTCGAATTGCTGATGCCGATGGCACGACCGCGAAACGGTTGCGACCGATCTGCCCAACTCGTTGGGTGCTCAGAAGTAGTGCTTTGCTGGCTCTCATCGAGAACGGCGAGAGTATTCTCAACTGGCTCGAGATGATGATGAATGATGCCGAATCGGCATCATTCATCGAATCTGAGTTATCGGCATTGCCGATAACTCCGCTGAGATGAGGGGAAGATCGAGTGGTTTCCTTGCCAAGTTCGAGGATTTCACATTTTTCTTCTGTCTCCGTGTATTGCATATTTCTTTTCTAGAAGCGCATCCAGTACACAAGTTTATACAGGGGCGATCAGTGAGCATATCAGCTGCTCAGCATGCATGTTTGACGCTCAAGAGTTGCTGGGAACAGCAGCATTCGGTGCTGCGTGCTGGGCAGCAATACGCCGATATCGTTGCCGATGCTGAGAAGTTGCGACTCGAAGGTCCACAAGCTCCTCGATCCTGCAGGATCGGAAGAAGACAACGACCACAACCCGGGGTCGGTGCGAAAGAAAAGTCCGCCAAACATTATCACTTGACACTCTACCTCGATCTGTAGTACAGATTCTGTACCGCTGTGGGATAGAGGCGTTGGAGCAACGATTCGAGAATGATGACTTCAACCGCATCATGCGGCTAGAGTAAGTTGTTGGTTTGTTCGGCGCCGGGTCAATGGAGAGAGGAAGCGTTGCGGATCGTTGCAGAAGACTGTGAGGGAGATCTCGACATAGCAAGGTTGGGTCGAGAATTGTCGACACTTCATGACCACCTTCGAGACCGTTCCGTTGAGCTCAAGTCCCTGGACGAAGTTCATCACTGGCTCAGAGGCACCCACAGCAGCTCTCAGGCTGAGGATCAGATGGTAGTGAGACGCATCTTCCCACGATTACGATGTCTGTGAGGCTTCTATTGACCATTCCTCCCACTTCATGCGAACCAGAGCGTAGCTTTAGAGCGATGGGACGCCTCAAAAGTGCTCTGCGCTCTACTATGGGTCAACCGCGTCTCGAGGCTGTCATGCGGTGCCATATATACCGCGATCTCATGTACGATCTCGATTTGATGAAGGTTGCTAATAGGTTTATTGATGCCAACTCCGTGGAAAAGAGTCATCTTCATTCCTTCGAGATAAAAGAGTAGCATTCATTTATCTTCGTCATCTTTCACGACTTTTTCACGGATAATCAATGTCGTGTCGAGTTCCAATAGAAAGGACGGAATCTCAACTGGCCTAAGCATGTTCCTGTTCATTGGAGAGGTCGCCCCTCACAATGAGATCGCACTTTGGCGCCTATGCTGATATAGCAGTCGTCTTGTTCGGGCCGAAGAAATCAGTGATCTTGTTGTGCGATAAATAGTAAGAAAAATAAGTAGTTATTCACACAAATAAACCAAACCTCAGCTCGGAAAAATGTATCTATGACTCTGTCATTTCACGCGACAAGCTCCCGACGTTCATTAACGATGCAAGTTGCAAGTGTAACAGATGGAATTTTAGGGATCGTGCGATTCCTCATGAAATCGGCACCTCAAGCCAGGCCAGGTTAGGATCTCCATCATTCCTCACAATATCCCAGCCATTCCTCGCAATACCCCTGCCTACTCACAGGAGTTGTATGAACCGCTGGCAGCGGCAGCGGTTCGAACAAACATATAACATGACACGAGCGAGACGAGTGTATCCTGTCGCATCGTGGCAGCAATGTTAACTCGTGTGAGTGCAGCCGCGAAGCCCAGGGATGAGTCGTAAATTACGAATCGTAATATGATTATGTGTCGCCCCCACAAATTAAGCGTGTCGATTACAGCCTTTCAACTTAAGCTTAAGCCCATGGGGAGCAAGCACCGAAAAGGGTGCAGGCACGCACCGTGCGTGACGGCGTCACGGTGACGCACGCACCGTGCGTGACGGCGTCACGGTGACGCACGCACTATCGGCACACTCGCTGAGTGTCACTCAGACTCTGTGTACCTGAGTGTCTTTCTCTCATCGGTACTTCTAGGGTCGGTTCCTACAGAACCACCCACAGACTTCCGCGACCGGGAGTGGGATATTTAATAAAGGTTAACTTGTTAACCTAAGTTGAATACCGATGCGGACGGTCGCGTCTCTTCGCTAGCAATTCGTACTGGCAGTACTACTGCGGTAATGAAACCGTGAGACGAGCGGATCCCCCCGTCCCTGCCGAACAGCGTAGAATAGTCGAGGGTAGAAAGGTCTTATACATTTCATCTCAATCCCACCACTGCTGCGGTGGCACTGCAGGGAGCAGGTACCGAAGAGGGCGCACACACGCACCGTGCGTGACACACGCACTATCGGCACACCCACTGAGTGTCACTCAGACTCTGTATACCTGAGTGTCTTTCTCTCGTCGATACTTCTAGGATCGGTTCCCACAGAAGCACCCTACTAGGCCCACGCAACCGGGGCTGGGAGATGTAAAGAATGACTTTCGCATTTACGTGATGAAATTATGGAAAATCGCAAACTCAGCGTTTGAAATGAGACGCCGCGAAGAATGGCAAGGGACACCTTGTCACGGGTGTTGGGGTCACGTCACTACCAAGGCGGTCTCGTCCTATCTTTTTTATCCTTTGCATCGGCATTCACGATGTTCGCCCGCTACCTTGCTCTTATTGCGGTTACTGTCGCTACTGTTGCCGCCAACAAGCTTTGTGGTGATCCACTGTGCCAGAAGGAAGTTGGTCATGCCTCTTACTGTAAGGATTACGCGCGACATCCAGCTGGGCGTGTTTGCCAAACTCTCGATCCCAAGGACACAAGACGCATTCCCTGCGAGTGTCCTAAGCCAACCCCCACCACAACTACCCCTACTCAACCACCGAAACCTCCCCGCAAGCCTTGTTTTGGCGGTGATACATTCTGTATCTTGGTGACAGAAGGTGGTATCTGTAGGAGGTTGCCGGGCTGGAAGTTCGTCGGCAAGTGCGATGGTGGTAACAAACCTGATCCTTTACCATGCTTCTGCTTCTAGGAGTAGAATCTACTCAGTAGATGTAGCTTCAATTTTTCCCCCTTCTTTTCTCATTCTCCCTAAATAAGGGCGTCATTCACGCATATACAGACTCGCCTGTAGGATGCAGCGACGGTTATTGAAATACTACGGTTGTGTTCTTTGTCGCAAATGGCAGTGCCATGGGGGTTCACTCTACGGTCCATGTTGGCAAACTCGTTATTCACCACTATTCACTATTCAACATTCCACACCACTAACAATGATAAAATAATGTTTCTACAGTGAATCGAACTCGTAGACCATCAACACGGAACTCACGATCACTACCCATTAGACGAATAAATACTAGTAAGAGATGCAAACCTTCCCAGTAGGTTCAGTTGGTCTTTATATTGACAACCCGCCCCACCTCATGCACAGTTATCAGGTGACGTGAGACTTCCACTGCCTCAGGAGATCCCTTCTTCGTTGAAGGGGATCCGTACCCACTACAAACACAATGAGTAAAGCTATTCGAACACGATAGTCCCATGGGAGGTATCAATGATGACGGAATGCACTGCCAAAAAATCTACTTAGAGTTTTCCTGGTGCCTTGTCTGAATGCATTGGCCGATGCCAACAATTCTGCCGCTTCCATCGGAGGAACTAGTAGCAAACTACAAACACAGAGATATGATGCAAAACATGTCAGTTTTGAGTCCTCACTGAGTAGCTGCACCTATCGATGCCAAAATTCTGATGACTAGTACAGCGATGAGGAGCTTCCTCACAGCATTCGACGGACAGGATATCTGACTTTCACATAGACGGTCTATGATAGACCAACATAGGAGGAAACTCTATGAGATAAAGGATAAGGATAAGGCTCACAACATGTAGAGGAAATTTGGACGTATTTTCCATTGAATCTTAAAAGTGGGAGCAACACTAACCAACTCATAATTATCAATTACCAAAGCAAGGACATCACGGACTCAATTATACACGGTCACAGTTTTTGGAGGCTGCATTTATATCACTAGTGAGCCGAGAATCCAGGTTGAGACTCCCTGTAGTTAAGGCGAAGTTAACAAGTTGGAGTCTCGCCCGTTCCACGTGGAGTGGCGAAATATTCTGTGGAAAACGCAATATTCGCGGTGATATGCAGTAGTCTCGAAAAGGTTTTTCATATCACGTGTGACTCCATCGTATATTTGAGGTGACGATATGAGAAGCAACATCTCTCACATTTTGGTATTCGGGCATCTCTCGTGTCATTAATCCTCCAATTATAGCATTATCGTCGTTATGGTTATCGCGTCCTTTCGGCAAGTACACACTGGATGTTATATCGACTAAGCTGTACGGTGACACGTTCGTTTCCAAAGAACACAGTTTGGCTCAAAATTGCCCGCTATTAACAGACGAGATCTGAAGTATGCCGTCCTCGAAATGGAGAGGTTCGAAGCCTAGATTATAGGATCTATAATATAGGTGTCATGCGATATACATCGGAAACTTGTTCGTATTCAGAATACCAGGAATGACGACCTCCCGCGCTTTACCGCATACAGTCACTGCATTGCAGTGTGTGCCAATTTGAGCTCATGTCAATAAAAGTTTATGCGACTATCACATTATCTTTTAATTACACTCTTCTGAACTCACCGAAGCTTTCCGAGCGTTCCCAACTCGTTCCCAATCTTCTCCGTAACGACAATCCACTCCACAACGTGAATTGCAATTTTCGAATCGTTGGTTGCCAAAATCAACCTAAGATATACTCCGGAATCAGTGTAGAGGAATATTCACATACTTCAAGTATGATACTTGAGTACACGTGTGTTGGAGTAATATATGTTCGCTTTCCTCGGCTGAGCTCCGGAATTCCCTCACTAATTATAGAAGTTTACATGTGAGTTCGGGAAGAAAGGTACAGAGGCCAATGAGAAATTCCTATTATTTTCATATTGTCACCAACACATGTAGTTAACCATGCGCATATTTTCCCACACTATACATGTGTAAATAACAATATGAAGAATTTTGAGGAAGTTTTAGTTGGTTTCCGAACACTTCTACTCGAGTTCATGTGTAAACCCTTACAATTATGGGGGAAACTGCTGAGATCAGGTGAAGGGAGAGAACCGGTGTTATTGCCGTGTTAGTCAGGCCCTAGCTCTGAGCTAGTAGCTCATATTGGCAGGGTCTGCTTAGCGATACCGCTACTAAACTTTCTGGACGAGTCGTCCAGGACGACTATTCAGCTGTGAGAGGTCTGACAGTCCGATGCAATCTTATCTCTCCCTCCGGACAAGCGAGAAAAGTTACTCGCAAAGATCGACGATGCTCTGCTCACTGATGCGCTCTCGAGTGCTGCCTCTTACAAGCTCATCGGCACTCTCACCTTTGCCGGTGCAACCCTCCCAACAAGCGCCACAAGATCATATTTGAGGCAACTACTCAATTTTCTCGAATAAGAAACTAAAGACGTAAATTTGCGCCGGCTGGAGGCGCCAGCTGGGTTCGATAGTGAGAGCACACAGGCGACACATAGCTTGAGGTTCAAGGATGCACACAGCTCCCAGAAGCGGGTAATGAGACTGTTGAGATCGGAGTGACGTGAATGCCCTCTCACCAGGCCATACTTTACTGCGGCGTTATCCACGAGGAATATCACCCATCGATCATTAACATGCTTGCCGAATGAGCTGAGAAGGACTACTGCTGCATACATATTCAGAGTATTAAGGCGGCCTCGGCGGGGCGAGTAGATCTGCTCTTCGAAGCCTCAATTGTCTAAGGGACACATGAAGTGACAGCTGCCGGAGACATGCCCAGTGAGCATTGCCCATAGTCAGTGGATCTCAGTGGCTCAATGAGCCACTGAGGATATCAAATCCCACTAGACACTGCATAAAAACAAGTCTATTTAATAGACTCATCTTCACAATGGAATTATTAAGAAATATCCTATTGTGACTGAGTACCTGTTCTTGGCTCTTCCAGCCCAGCGGGGAGTGTCCTGGTCCAAGCAGGTCAGCAAGTGAGATCCATTTCTACACTATTCTTTCAACTTTTCTCCATTGTTTCGAAAGGATCTACCGATGGAGAAGATTTGCAGAACTGCCTTTTTGAGATGGAGCACTGGCTCACCTCTCGAGAGCGCTGTCGACAATGGAGATGTTGAAACTCGGATCCCTTGGAGTTGAACATTCAATAATCGACTATGCTGCCACCCAGAGATATGCCCTAGCAGTGAAGCCAGCTCGCATGAGCACGCAAGCGTCTCGCGGCGAGACGGTTTGATAGGTCCTATCTATCGGATAGGAAGACCGCCTTCGTTGGCAAGTAACTCCCGGAGTTGAACTCCGATTTCAACCATATTTTCTATATTCGCCCTTTCTCCATTTACCGATTTTTTTGAGAACCAATATAGCTGGGGATAGGAGAAATATTACTCTGATTTCAATGAGAGTCATCAAGCACTAGTTCTCAGCGAAAAAACCCTAACAAGGCGAGAATTTCGCTGAAAGTCAAATATTTCACTGAAATTTTTTCAGTGAAATATTTGAAATATTTCACTGAAACATCCTTGAAATATTCCATTCTGGATTAGGGTGGCACGAATTATTTCCTTCCAATTATTTCCTTCCATTTCCTTCGGAAAGATGAAGGAAATTTAGAAAATTCTTTCGGGCAGGAAAAATAGGAAAAATAGGAAAAATAAAGAAAAATAAAGAAAAATTTCCCGAAACTGCCATAAATGGGCATAAAAAAACCAAAAAACGGCAGGTGATGTCTATGATATATGCCTGTGTTAGTGGTCTCGGTTAGACCGAGTATAGGGAAACATTGTTCGGCAGGATGATCAAAGATTTTTGTGGCGAGCGAGAATTCGATTCGCACTTTCACTGGAAGGCCCAGGTTGCGGTTTCGGTTATTGCGTGGCACTTCACAGTGCGAGGTTCGCACCATGATCATTTCATTCAAGCGGGAAATGCTGCACTCCCACAAGCACAACACGGTGAAGTATTAACGTAGCATACTCCAAAACACACGGATAGGTAACCCTGACGCAGGCAGTGGTTCTGTAACCGGCCGCAGGCTCAGAGTCTGAGGCTCTGACTGGATCAGTAATCGCCGTTACGGACAGTCCGAGCTTTGCACCTCGCTTCGCATCATAACTCGTCAGTGTTCCCATCTGCGTTCCTTGCTGATACGCGCGGTCGAACCTGTGAAAGTGATCGAAATTGGAAGGTTTTATTGGTGACTATAAGACATTTCCAATGCTGGCCGCCGCGAGGACTGCCGTTGACAAAAGTTTTCGACAATCCCCTTATTCGAGAAAAAATAAGACTGTTGCTGCTGGCATACATGATGGGGACGATAAAACAGAGGCAGAAGTGGTGATGGTAACGAAGGGATGCAGACATTAAAGAACATTAAAGATGAAGACAATCAAGAAATGTCCAACGACAGCTCTAATCACCGAGCGTTGGAAACTTTCCAGTGGAAAGCGCGCTTGTTCAGCCGCTTAACTTTAGCGCACGCCCTGGTCTCCTCCAGTGTGGATATCTCACATATCTTGTAACGCTTTGAATCAGTTACATCTAATCAAGCTATGAAACATGATTAGTAAGTGCAAATCATCTGCTAGCAGCCTGATCGAATAAGACAGTGACGCTCTGGCCTGCCAAACCTGGCAGGCCAAGCGGAAAAATTTATTTTTCCCTATTTTTCCGTATTTCTCCTTCATTTTTCCTTCAAACTTCAAATTTCCTTCCGAAGGAAATAATTTTTCTATTTTTCCTTCCGCGTGCCACCCTATTCTGGATTATTTCAGCCACCCTGTGACCTTTCGTCTTCCTCTCAGCTGTCTGTCGCTGCCGCGAGTGAGGGGACACGTTACTTCTCAGGGTAGCTTTGATACTGTATTGTCTGATGGCTCAAAGCGGAAACGCGGCCGCCGGCCACTGACCGGCCTAGCAAATGAGCATCGGCCTTGAAGAGGCAACTTACCGGTATGCGGCCTCCAAAGAAGCCTGCAGCTTGGGCTCCAATGAGGGGAGCGGTTGCCTCCTGGACTAACAGGCTCCTTCCTCAGAGGGCAGCCAATATTGGTAAAGTACTGGACTGTAATCGGGCGCAGGGGCCCCCTGTCAGGGGGCTAGTTCTCAGATACAAAAGTTTCTAGAGGTTTCTCACTGTTCCTGTAAACAACTGAGCCAGTTGCAACAAGCTCCTTAATTGATTTTTTTTATATTTCTTTCATCACTTCCGTTTGCGTTAGTTGTTAATGTCGTTACTATAGCAGTATCACGTCAAAATTGGATTATTCCATACTCATTATGGCATAATAGTTATAGAAGGCTATACCCTGTAAGAGTGATAACACAGGATAGAGCTCAACACTTACGCCAGTTAAGATAATACAGATTAAGATAATAAGATTCGATGCATTCCTGCACTGTCCAGGTTTGTTAACACTCACCTCAGGTAAGAGTAGCTAAGCTACACTCTCATTCTAATCATCGTGAGGCTGTATGAGATGAATGGAAGGTCTTTGACCGAGAATGCACACTCAGCAAAAGTTCCCTGAAAAGTTTTACTCGCGGAAAAATTTGAAAACTTCCGCGGAAATTTTCCGCGAAAGTTTCTGTAGAAAGATTCTCAGACACCCTGTCTGATCAGGCATTACTCTTAACGCCACTAGAACGGGGAATGCTGCACGATCAAATTCAGTATTTTTGTTCGCTAAACCTGGTTTCTTCCGTTTGTCCGTTTTCAATTTTGTCGATTACAGCCTTTCAACTTAAGCTTAAGCCCATGGGGAGGCTCCCCAGGGGAGCAAGTACCGAAGAGGGTGCAGGCACGCACCGTGCGTGACGGCGTCACGGTGACGCACGCATCGTGCGTGACGGCGTCACGGTGATGCACGCATCGTGCGTGACGGCGTCACGGTGGGTCACGCACTATCGGCACACTCACTGAGTGTCACTCAGACTCTGTGTACCTGAGTGTCTTTCTCTCATCGGTACTTCTAGGGTCGGTTCCTACAGAACCACCCACAGACTTCCGCGACCGGGAGTGGGATATTTAATAAAGGTTAACTTGTTAACCTAAGTTGAATACCGATGCGGACGGTCGCGTCTCTTCGCTAGCAATTCGTACTGGCAGTACTACTGCGGTAATGAAACCGTGAGACGAGCGGATCCCCCCGTCCCTGCCGAACAGCGTAGAATAGTCGAGGGTAGAAAGGTCTTATACATTTCATCTCAATCCCACCACTGCTGCGGTGGCACTGCAGGGAGCAGGTACCGAAGAGGGCGCACACACGCACCGTGCGTGACGCACGCACTATCGGCACACTCACTGAGTGTCACTCAGACTCTGTATACTTGAGTGTCTTTTTCTCGTCGATATTTCTAGGATCGGCTCCCACAGAAGCACCCTACTAAACCCACGCGACCGGGGCTGGGAGATATAAAGAATGACTTACGCATTTACGTGATGGAATTACGGAAAATCGGAAACTCAGCGTTTGAAAGGAGAAGCGGTGAAGAATGGCAAGGGACACCTTGTCACGGGTGTTGGGGTCACGTCACATTCCACGTCACTACCAAGGCGGTCTTGTCCTATCTTTTTTATCCTTTGCACCGGCATTCACGATGTTCGCCCGCTATCTTGCTCTTATTGCGGTTACTGTCGCTACTGTTGCCGCCAACAAGCTTTGTGGTGATCCACTGTGCTGGAAGGAAGTTGGTCATGCCTCTTACTGTAAGGATTACGCGCAACATCCAGCTGGGCGTGTTTGCCAGACTCTCGATCCCAAGGACGCAAGACGCATTCCCTGCGAATGTGCTAAGCCAACGAAACCTCCCCATGGGGATTGTACTCCCGGTGATGAATTCTGTCGCTTGGCGACACGCGGTGGTGTCTGTGAGAGGTCGCCGGGCAGCAAGTTCGTCGGCAAGTGCGTTGGTGGTGCCAAACCTTTTGCGTGGCCATGTATCTGCCTCTAGAAGTAGACGTAGCTTTAATTTTTTCCCCTTCTTTCTTCATTCTCCCCAAATAAGGGCGTCATCCGCACATATACCCACTCGTCTGTAGGATGCAGCGACGGTTATTGAAATACTACGGTTGTGTTCTTTGTTACTAACGGAAGTGCCATAGGGGTTCACTCTACGGTCCATGTTGACAAACTCGTTATTCGTCACTATTCAACATTCCAAATCACTAACGATGATGAAAGAATATTCATACAGTAAATCGAACTTGTATGCCGTCAGCACGGAACTCACGATCACTACCCATTAGACGAATAACTACTAGTAAGAGATGCAACCCTTCCCAGTAGGGTCAGTTGGTCTTTATATTGACTACCCGCCCCACCTCATGCACAGTTATCAGGTGATGTGGGACTTCCACTGCCTCAGAAGATCTCTTCTTCGTTGAAGGGGATCCGTACCCACTACCAACACAACTACTAGAACACGATAGTCCCATGGGAGGTATCAATGATGACGGAATGCACTGCCAAAAAATCTACTTAGAGTTTTTCTGGTGCCTTGTCTGAATGCATTGGCCGATGCCAACAACTCTCCCGCTCCCATTGGAGGAACTAGTAGCCAACTACAAACACAGATATATGATGCAAAACATGTCAGTTTTGAGTCCTCATTAAGTAGCTGCACCTATCGATGCCAAAATGCTGATGACTAGTAGAGCGATGAGGAGCTTCCTCACAGCATTCGACGGACAGGATATCTGACTTACACGCTCGAGAGATACGAATGAGGTTAGGCTGGCATTGAGAATCTCAATGAGTCGATCTCAATTTGAGATCGACGACGATTCCAGAAGACTCACAACATGTAGAGGAAAATTAGGACGTATTTTCCATTGAATCTTACAAGTGGGAGCATTCAGCTCATAACACTAACTAACTCATCAATATCGGTTTTTTCTCGAAGGCGAAGTTATCCAGCTAGTTGGATTATATTCCGAATTAATTTGGAGCATTGAAGTTTCACCCGTTTCATATGAACATATGAACTCATATTATGAAGTAGCGAAAGACTCTGTAAAAACGCGATATTCGCGCTATGGAGTAGTCTTGAAATATGCTTTTCAAGTTAGGTTATAATCCGTCATTAATTTGATGCTTCGGAGCTTCATTCGTTCCACGTGGAGTGGCGAAATACTCTGCGAAAAACGCAATATTCGCGATGGTATGCAGTAGTCTTGAAATAGGTTTTTCATATTACGGGTGAAACTCCATCGTATATTTGAAGTGACGATAAGAGAAGCAAAAGCTCTTACAGTTCGATATTTGGGCAGCCCTCCTGTCATCAATTCTTCAATTAATATCGCATTCTTTCGGCAAGCACACATTGGATGTTATAGCGACTGGGTTGTACGGTGATACGCTCGTTTCCAAAGAACACATTTTGCCTGAAATCGCCCGCTGTTAACAGACGAGGTCGAAAGTATGCCTTTCTCGAAATGGAAAAGTTCAAAGCCTAGGTTATAGATGTCTTTTCACCACATGCACTGCGTGCCAATTTGATACTATGCAAATGTGAAGAGTGTACGTTTTCCATTCCGGGATGAATGATAGCGACTGACTATTAGTGAGCAACTTGGCTCTATCATAGTCTTGAGAGGTTACTTTCATCACATTACATGTCCAGAGTAATGTTCACATTGAAGTTTCACCCGCTTTACGTGAAATGGCGTTGTTCTCTGTGAAAAACGCTTTGTTTCGCAGTGATACGAAGTACTCGTGAAGTATATTCAAATATTTCCTCAGCAGTTCAACAGAATTATCAGAACCAATTTACACTCATGCCAATATAAGTTTATGCAACTATCACATTATCTTTTAATTACACTCTTCTGAACTCACCGAAGCTTTCGGAGCAAACTCGTTCCCAATCTTCTCCGTAACGACAATCCACTCCACAACGTGAATTGCAATTTTCGAATCGTTGGTTGCCAAAATCAACCTAAGATATACTCCGGAATCAGTGTAGAGGAGTATTCACATACTCAAGTACATGTGTGTTGGAGAAATATACGTTCGCTTTCCTCAGCTGAGCTCAGGAATTCCCCCACTAGTTATAGTCTATAACTTCTATGAGTTCTATAACTTATAGAAGTTTACATGTGAACTCGAGTAGAAACGTACAGAAGCCAAGGAGAATTTGCCATAATTTTCATATTGTCACCAACACATGTAGTTGACTATGTGCATATTTTCCCACACTATACATATATAAGTAGCACTATGAAAGTTTTTGAGGGAGTTTTCGTTGGTTCCCGAATACTTCTACTCGAGTTCATTTGTAAACCTCTACAATAAGGGAACTGCTGAGCTCAGGTGAAGGGAGCGAACGCACAATTCAACATTGCTCGAAAGCATGATTATGATGGCGATTCGGTCGCGCATTATTTCGGCTCTATTCTGTCTCCATTTCACATGTATATGCTGCGCGCCTTGGACGCTATGAATGTACAGTGGAGTTGCACCCTAGTGATATGAAAACACTATCGGAGAATACATTTCCCGACTACTGCATATCACCGCGAATATCGCGTTTTTCACCAAGTTTTACACCACTTCACGTAAAACGGGTTGTGAAACTCCAGTGTGTGGAAATATAATGTGTATTGTATCACGTGATTGATGATGGTAAACAAGCACCCTACATTTTGTGAATTCACACACGATCTATGCGGGGGGAAACAAACGCTAATCTCAGTATTCGAATCAACACGCGTAGTCGACCATGTGCACATCCTCTCATCCTCAAAGACTTACCTCTTCACAACAAGTCGCCACTGAGTTTTGGAAAATCAGATAGCACAAACGTCGCTCGCGCTGGTACCAAAATTGGAATGCCGAGGAATGTGTCTGAAAAAAAACGGAATTTCCGCGGTGTAAAACTTCAAAATTTACCATTTTATGCCAAGCATTTGAGCATTCCAAACTGACTGCGTCAACGAAACAGGCGAAGAGTAGTGCTACTGACACGAATCTGTGGAACCCCATGAATAAGGAAACTTGTGTGAGTAGACAAATCGATAACATATAATCCATGCATGAATTCAATTTCTTATTCTCATTCGATTATCCGCGGCAATTCGAGAAGTATAATCAACATGAACTCAATTGTAGTTAGTAGTGACTTGATTGAAGCCATTACGACTCAAGGTAACAATGTGGGATATATGCACATGGTCAACTACACGTGTCAGACCTTTCCGGAGACACTTGCACAGAATCATTGTCCCTTTAGCTAGCTACTGAGCCTTGGTAGGCTTCGCTGTGTTCACTTACTCGGAAAAACTCTACTGTTGTGTTATTATGGCTTCTAAGACCAAGGCCAATCATGTTGCTGTAAATGTGGAAATTCTGGGAAAATTTTGGGAAGTTATCGTTGGTTTTTGTGCACTCCTGCCCAAAACTCTCATAATGTGGTGAGGAAATTTACGAGCTCAGTTGAGGAAACCAAACGTATGTTCTCGGACTGCAAGGTATATCTCAACTCTAAATGTAATTGTGATCACTGTTTGCATCTTGAATTCCAATCCTCAATGGTGTGAGGAGGGCTGTTCGATGGCCACGGATGAAGTTGGAAGGGCGGTGATTACCCGTTGGGTTGTTCGACATCACAGATCCTCATTGACTTACAACACTAGCCAGTGCATTACTATTTGGAGGAATAGGATGCATTCAACAGCAACAGTACAACCTCTTATTAGCCATACCTAGAAAGGGCAGACGGATTTCACATCACACAACTATTGGACGATAGAGTGATCAGTGGGACAATTGAGTTGACGAGTTTCGGGTGGGGAGCTGCGATCGGGCCTGTGTTTATAATCACTCAATAGTTGTGTGCTGTGGATGCTGTCCCGTATAGCTCTAGAAAAGTAAATTATCGTAAAGCGTGTTACACCTAGCATTGATGGCAAACACCAAATGGTCATAATCTGTCTTATTAAGAGAACTAGGGCTGATTATAAGTGGTCGCACTTCGTGTCGGCCTTTGATAGGCCTTCTTCTGCCTCTCTTTCCTCGTCTCTTAATTTCTTTTTCTCCCATCTCTCTCGATAGAATCTCTTTCTTCCAGCTCAGCCTAGCTTGGCTAGTAGTAAGCTGTTCTGTTACTGTCGTATTCACTCTACCTCTCCAAATAGTGGCGCTCTCGTTAGTGTTATAAAACTACTGATTTCAGCTGGGCAACCAAGACGTTCATTACTCTCGGTGTCGCTTGCCTCAAAGGTCGAGTCTTCCCCGCGCTAACTCAAGAGTGTCGTCGTTGCATACGGAGTAAACCACTAGGAATTGATGGTAGGAATTGGTAGTGATACTAACTCTAATAGAGTTACACCGATATTTGACGTTAATAGCTCATTCACCCCGCGGAAAAATATGAAATCGATTACCCACGTATTGGTCGAAACACTTGTGCTCTAAGACGATGAGTAAGACTAGAAATATTCGTACTGGGAGTCAAGCCCACGACCATAGCAAACACTCCAAGAATTTCTTTTCGCCATAGCTTCCTCACTGATGCCACACATTTTAATGCAACCACAGTTTGTTTTGCCGATTGAGCACTTATGAGAAAACTCTTCTCGCCCGGGTTACTTTCACAGGAATGGAGTTTCTCTGTCAGTGATTTGCCCATTGAGCATAACACCACACTGGACATAACAGCAGGGCAAGACAGCAGCCTGATTATACCTAATGAATGTAGACTCATAAGCTTAGCTAAGGGATTCATCCCCCCGATAGAAACACATTGTGTGCTACAGCGCGATACTGATAATGATTGATAATGATCGATAATGATCGATATCGATCGATAATGATTGTTAATGATTGTTAATGATTGTTAATGATTGATAATGATTGTTAATGATTGTTAATGATTGTTAATGATTGTTAATAATTGTTAATGATTGTTAATGATTGTTTATGATTGTTAAGGATTGTTAATGATTGTTAATTATTGTTAATGATTGTTAAGGATTGTTAATGATTGTTAATGATTGTTAATGATTGTTAATGATTGTTAAGGATTGTTAATGATTGTTAATAATTGTTAATGATTGTTAATGATTTTTAATGATTGTTAATGATTATTAATGATTGTTAATGATTGTTAATGATTGTTAATGATTGATAATGATTGTTAATGATTGTTAATGATTGTTAATGATTGTTAATGATTGTTAATGATCGATAATGATCGATAATGAGTGATACAGTAGCATCTAGTAGATGCTACTGACCAGATGCCAGAGAGATGCTGGTAGATGCCATCCACCACCTCCGACCACAAGTCCACCTTCCATCGCCTCCGGCTGCTCCCAACACAACACAAATTGATCACTACAAGTGTCGTAATAATATCATTTCTGGACTACATTCACTTTATCTTCATGCAGTGCCACCTCAGCACGGTGTACCGTCGTAGTTTGACTAACATTTTCTCTCGCAACCGAGCCAACCTCAACACCTTCAATTTCGTTTGATACCAATTTTTCTTCAATTTCCGCCTCGGAAATCAACTTCCTCGCGAACTCTCCTGGTTTGGCGATCATCTCCACTTCGACGTTGTCAAGGGCCATGTGATAAATTCTCGCGGAATATTTCCAAATTTCACTCAATTCTGCGTCTCTCCCAATGAACAGCATAGCAGTCACCAAATGCGCCAACATTAAAATTGACGGAATTTTCCATTTTTTCCTCGTCCCAGTCGCTTTCACCAAATTGTGCAAATCTTCGCAAACACCATGCAAAGAAGCCATCGCGTTACAAAACGGCCCCATTAGTTTCCGTAATAGTAAAAGTGTTACTCTTCCAAGAGCATGTCGATCGTAAACCGATTTCAACAATAAAAAACACCCCAAAGTCGTCGCGTTCGTCACCACTGTTTGCATTGAGCTTGTGGGGACTGTAGGAAATACTTTCGTTAAAAATGCCGGTACCGGGATTCGAACCCACGCCCCTCCAGCAGCACACAGTATTCCCAACAGCAGCAACACTGGTGGGGGAACTGCCACGTCAACTGAAGGGTCTATCTCAGTCACTGTACGCGGCCTCGAGGGGTCTACGACTCCAACAAGTATCGACCACAGAAAGCACATCGCCAGGAGCGACCAACAGGCCTTTGCACTGCTACTTCCCGTCAGAGAATCAACAACAACCCATCGTCCGGCACTTTGTGGTTTCAAAAAAATTATCATCAAAACTCCTAGTGAATAGATCGCGATCAAATATACCAACGCCCAGCGTTTATCAGCCACCAACCCGTCTAGTAAAGTGACATACTGCGACAAGCATGCAACTACTGCAAGGCATGCTGCGCTGCGTTCGAGTGGCTGAGGTGCGGGGTCAGAGTGTGCGAGAATTGTTGGAGTGCTGTCATCGTCACTGGAGAGGTCTACGACTGGGGCTGTTGATGCCCATACGAAAACACTTGTTAGATTTAGGAGAATCAGCATCTGGGAAAAAAGGGAAAATTAAAATTACTTTTTCACTCGATGGAGTTTCACCCTAGTGATATATTTCACAACTACTGCATATCACCGCGAATATCGCGTTTTTCACATGGAGTTTTACACCACTTCACGTAAAACGGGTTGTTGTGAAACTCCGTTGTCAATTACAAAACAATTTTCTGTTTCAACCGAACCGGTCATTCTTCCATTTTTGATGTTCATTATGCGACTAAATTGTGAAGTCTCAAACCTCTCACAAATACCAAGAATTGGAAAACTTCTCTACTGAAAAAAATTCTTCATATTATAAAGAAAAAAGTCTGAAGATTGATTTTCTGACCAAAAAAAATCCCACGAAAAGTACAAATTCTCATTTTTGCACGTTTTCGTCACAATAGAACAAATGAATTCAAAACCGAAAATTTCTCACCCAAAACCACGCCGTTGGAGAACTCGTCAACAGCGGTCCAATGAAACAAGCCGTAACGGCTTCTGTACACATCGCATGAAGAAATGCTGAGATCCACGGTGATGATGATGATGGTGATGAAGGCAACCCTAAACCACAGAAAAACGCCGAAAATATCAGTCTGGAAAAATATGCACATGGTCAACTACATGTGTTGGTGATAATATGAAAATTATGAGAGGAAATTTCAGGGAATTCTCATTGGCTTCTGTACATTCCTACTCGAAGTCGTATGTAGATTTCTATAATTAGTGAGGAAATTCCTGAGCTCAGCTGAGGAAATACCGTTAGTGAACAATCTGTAGTTCACGAGGAAATTAATAATGGAGTTTCACGACTGTGATATGAAAAACAGACCGCGAATATCGCCTAGTTTTTCACCGAGTTTTACGACGCCACTTCACATTGTTGTTTTGAAACTCCGATAGTGTATATTCTTGGTCGGAAATTCCTGGACTCAGCTGAGGAAAGCGAATATTTATTACAATGCTGGTTGTAATGGTAGATTTAATGTTGGATTTTTTTTTCGAAAAGTTTCCTCACTAATTATAGGAGTTTACATTGTTGTTTTGAAACTCCAGTAGTGTATATTCTCACTCAGTTGTTGGTTCGCGGTCTTCTTTGCCGTTCCTGGTGACATCCCATCGGTACTCGAATAGGTGGGTGATGAGGAGGAGTCTAGAGCGGCCAAAGTCGGTGTTTCAGATAGGGGTGATGCCTCGCAGGGTTTGGGGGCGGTCCGCTTGTGAGAGGACGAAATTTTCAAGAGGCGAAGTGAAAATTAAAATGCCTATAAATTTACAGATGTCATTGGAGTTTCACGGCCACCCTAGTGATGTGAGAAACACTGGAGTTTCACAACAACCCGTTTTACGTGGAGTGGCGTAAAACTCGGTGAATAACGCGATATTCGCGACCTGTAGTAGTCGTGGAATATGTTTTCTTCACATGAAGTAGTACGCCACTTCACGTAAAACGGCTTGTTGTGAAACTTTATTGATATTGAATAATAGATAGTTCGATCGTTGGTAAGAATATGTAAGGGTGTTCCCCGACTATTATCATTGGAGTTTCACGGCCACCCTAGTGATATGAAAAACACTAGTGAAAAATGTATTTCACGACTACTGCATATCACCGCGAATATCCCCTAGTTTTTCACCGAGTTTTACGCCACCTCACGTGAAACGGGTTGTGAAACTCCATTGTCTTGGGCGCTACTACAAAAACTGGGGTTCTGCGGGCCGACCTCACGTAGGAAAATATGCAATTACATTTGTTGGTGACAACGCGATAATTCTGAGGGGCAACTGTTGAGAAAATTATCATTGGTTTCTGTACATTTCTACCCAAATTCTTTGGAAACTTCCGAGCTCAGCTGAGGAAAGCGAACATATATTCCTCCAACACTGACTTTGGGTACGCTCGAAGCCAGACCGTGCTCAGTTGCTCAACAGCGAAAGCTGCTGAGCATTGAGCCACAAGAGCGATTCAACTCTTACTCGCTTACCGAGCAGTTTGCAACCTGCGCATATGGTAGATAATCGATCATCATGGCGCGCGCTAAATACATCGAGAGTGCTGAAGTCTAAGGTCAAGTTTAGCTTACTTCGTATGATGTCCTCCTCCTCCTCGTCGTCGTCTTCTTCTTCGATGGAGAAGCATAAGCAGGAGAGAGCCGTACCGTGGGTGGAAAAATAGTAAGTTTTGGAATTTCACGGGGCGGGGGACTTGAAAAATATCTTGAGGATGACTTGGCATCTCACGAATATATGTTTGCTTTCTCCAGCTGAGCTCAGAAGTTCCCAAAGCTAATTATGGAAGTTTAGATAGGAGTTGTACAGAAACCATTGAGGATTTTCCTAAAATTTCCTCTCATAATTTTCATGTTGTCACCAACAACTGTAGTTGGCAATGTGCATATTTTTCTACACTTTCCTAGGGGTACCAAATATAATCGTTGTGATATATTTGATTGTGTTCAGTCGGCCCGCTCGAGTAGAGGAGCTTGCTCATCAACCGGAAGTAGTGGGAGCGTTGAAGGAAGCTGTGGGGACTGGAAATGTACCACTGGGGATTAGAACTCACGACCTTCCGAATAGCCGTCCTGGTGCTTATCGTAGCTGCCACATCTGCTCTTCTACGGCCCTCCTGGCAACGGCAAGACGTCGGCAATTCTCGCATTGGCTCGAGAGCTCTTCGGTCCTGAGCTGTGGCGTGATAGAGTCCTCGAGCTGAATGCATCGGATGAACGGGGAATCGACGTGATTCGAGATAAAGTGAAGAAATTCGCTCAGGTCAGTTTTCGATTTTCGTTCGAAGTTGATTCTCAAGAAACTTATTTTTTTGTCAGATTTCTGTTCGCGCAGTTGCCCCCGGGTCGGGAAAGAGCGCTCCACCGTTCAAGATCATCGTACTTGACGAGGCGGATTCCATGACTAAAGATGCACAAGTAGTTGGAAATTTTTTTGAAGAAGGATACGAGTGGATTTCAGGCGGCCCTGAGGAGAATCATCGAGAACTACACACAAGTGACTCGATTCTGTATCATCTGCAACTATGTGTCAAGGTAGGAAGATAGGCCCGTTGAGGGAGGTGTGGTATGGCGTTTTCTCTCTGTAGGATCATCGAACCACTGCAATCTCGATGTGCCAAGTTCCGATTCGAACCAGTAGTATTGAGCAAAACTCATAATTAACTTCTCTTCGTTTTTTATGCAGCTTTCGGATGAATCCCAAAGAGGCCGATTGGAATACATCGCGAATTGCGAAGGAGTGAAAATGGCCAACGGTGCTATGGAGGCGCTTCTGGGCACTTCTAACGGGGATCTCAGATCTGCTATCAACACACTGCAAATGGTAATTAATTTTAGTAATGTATTTAAAACTGCTGAACGATTTGGTAGGTATCTTCATGCCTGTCTGATGACGAAGCTATTACTGTTGAAGAGATTTTAGAAGCTAGTGGGGTGAGTCTAGCGGAGCGA